TCCTTGAGTAGTTAAAAAGTCAGTACTGCAGACTGTGAGAGATACCTTCCATCATGCGTGAGACACACAAGGGTGAATCTGAAGAAGGTTGCAATACAACCTTCTTCAGAGGTTGGGGCTGGATTGCAACTCTATTAGGATATGTCTACACTAGCCCCCTAGTTCGAATTAAGGAGGCTAATGTAGGCACTCGAGCTTGCAAATGAAATCCGAGATTTAAATATCCCAGGCTTTATTTTCATGTTCCTGTCCAGTCGCCATTTTTAAATGCCACTAGTCCGGACTAACTGTCCGCGGCTACACGCGGCAGTTAAATGGTAATTTGAACTAAGTCCTTACTTTGAATTACCTGTTACTCCTCCTGGAATGAGGTGTAGCAGGTAATTGAAACTAAGGACTTAGTTTGAATTACCGTTTAACTGCCGCGTGAAGCCGCGGGCAGTCTGTCCGGACTAGTGGCATTTAAAAATGGCGACTGGACAGGAACATGAAAATAAAGCCTGGGATATTTAAATCCTGGATTTCATTTGCAAGCTCGAGTGCCTACATTAGCCTCCCTAGTTCGAACTAGGGGGCTAGTGTAGACATACCCTTACACATAGGTTTTATACAACTGTTCCTCTATTTCCATAAGAAGGAAGACCATTGAGTATATAGAGCCTTAGATTGTGTCTTTGCTATGGGTCAGATCAATGGGGCAGTGATCGATCGATCCAACAGGGTGAATTTATTGCAACTAGCACCCTGAATCAGTGAATGCTTCTGAAAACACCACCTCCAGAGAGTTCCACTGAGAATTGGCAATAACATACAGACTAGAAGATTTTCTTATGTCAAACAACTCCAACATTCTTAAAGCAATGTCTTCAATTCTTCATCATTGAACATGGAAAATAAAAATGAAATTGCTAATACAAATGGTCATCTTTTAATTTTTAGTTATAGTGAATGGAATTATTCGGGAGCTTGAGAGTGAGGTATCTATCTCCTTTACTTTCAGCATAAGCAAATACTGGAGCATTTTATGAATTTGCTAATGCTGGCTATAGAAGGTAAATCATCCAATCTGAGAGTTGTGAGGCTCCACTACAGTAGCCCTTTGGTACCAAGATATAGAAAGGACGGTGAAATTCAAAGGCTCTGTGCTTCAGTTACATAACTCTTCCATCAACAAAGCACCATTGAATCAATGTGGCATAGCTTAGAATGACATAAAGAATTGCAGGAGTCCAGCTTAGAAAAAGATCGAGGACAGAAAATAGCCCACTCACCACGGCATTGTCCAGCAATGCGTGAGACACACTTTCAAATGTTTTCTCTACATCAGACTGGCAAGAGATTCAAATGTGTCTTCCTACATCCCATATGAGTGCTCTATCACAGAGGCCAGGTCTACACTAAGCCAGAAATTTTACTTAAGTTGCACAGCTGCATCTACGAGAATTATGTAGCTGGAGTCAACGTACCGTAAGCTGAATTTCTGGGGTGGCCCCCCTGCAGGAGGTCAACAGGAGAAACTTTCCCATCAAGTTCCCTTACTCCTCATGACTCCAACGTGCACCAGGGTTAATGGGGGTAACATCAGTGTTCAGTTGAGCGAGCCTTTACTAGACCTGTTAATTGAACCCTGAAAGATTGATCTTTGGAGTATCAATCTTCCTGGAAATATAGACAAGGCCTGAGTTAAACTCTATAATGGAAGCAGCAGCATCAATACCTCTTCCACCTCCATCCATTTTGTCCATATAGACCTTTATTGTCTTTGCTTTCATATTGAAAATTCCCCAGGAAGGAAAGGAAATGGTCAGTTTCTGGCCATGTTAAGTATTTCCGTCAACCCCGAAGGAAATGTTGGTGAATGTTTTAAATTTGCCAAACATCACCTTTAGGTGTGGATCTGGTTGCACTGAATTCTTTTTACAAATATTTGTAACAGCAATGAACTGGAAAATCAGGAAATCACCCAGTTTTATCCATTCCTCACTCACAGTCCCCTGAGCCATACCATTCCCACAATCCCTATTCTTCAGAGTCTGTAATACTTTCCAACAGATTCAAGGGGGAAACTCATAGCTGATGTGGTGCACATATTGTGTGTCTCATGTACATTTTCCCATCTGTTTAATTCATATGGCAGAGAAATCTAACCCTCTCAGAGCTTTCTCAGTGCAGACTTTCATGGGGTGCATCTACACTGCACGGCTGTGTCTAGACTGGCAAATTTTTCCGCAAAAGCAGAAAAACTTGCCAGCTGTCTACACTGGCCGCTTGAATTTCCGCAAGAACACTGACAATCTCATGTAAGAAATCAGTGCTTCTTCTGGAAATACTGTGCTGCTCCAATTTGGGCAAAAGTCCTTTTGCACAAAGCTTTTGCGCAAAAGGGCCAGTGTAGACAGCTCAGATTTGTTTTGCGCAAAAAAGCCCCGATCGCAAAAATGGCGATCTGGGCTTTTTTGCGGAAAAGCGCGTCTAGATTGGCACGGATGCTTTTCTGCAAAAAGTGCTTTTGCGGAAAAGCATCCGTGCCAATCTGGACGCTCTTTTCCTCAAATGCTTTTAACGGAAAAGTTTTCCATTAAAAGCATTTGCGGAAAATCATGCCAGTCTAGACGTAGCCGCTGTATTTCAAGATAACTAGTGTTATTTTGAAATAACTATGAGTGCATCTACACAGCCATTCCTTTCTTTCAAAGTAATTTCAAAATAATGGATGGCTTATTCCAAAATCTGTAAACCTCATTCTACGAGGAATAATGCCTATTCTGAAATAGCTATTTCAAAATAAGATGTGTGTGTAGACACTCCACTGTCGTATTTTGAAATAGCCCCTCATTCTAAGTTGAGCCTCCTGGGGCTGTAAATCGAGAAAGCACGTCTACATTAGGGAAACCTGCCTCGGACTAATTTTGAGGCTTCCCTGCAGTGTAGACGTGCTATTTTGAAATAAGCTATTTCAGAATAACTAGGGTTGCCATATTTGTACTTTCAAAAAAGAGGACGCTCCTGAGATGGAGTGTATCTGTATCAGTATCTTCCAACTCATGGGCTACGTCTACACTGGCCCCTTTTCCGGAAGGGGCATGTTAATTTCAGCTATCGTAGTAGGGAAATCCGCGGGGGATTTAAATATCCCCCGCGGCATTTAAATAAAAATGTCCGCCGCTTTTTTCCGGCTTTTAGAAAAGCCAGAAAAGAGCGTCTACACTGGCCCCGATCCTCCGGAAAAAGCGCCCTTTTCCAGAGGCTCTTATTCCTACTTTGAAGGGCGCTTTTTCCGGAGGATCGGGGCCAGTGTAGACGCTCTTTTCCGGCTTTTCTAAAAGCCGGAAAAAAGCGGCAGACATTTTTATTTAAATGCCGCGGGGGATATTTAAATCCCCCGCGGATTTCCCTACTACGATAGCTGAAATTAACATGCCCCTTCCGGAAAAGGAGCCAGTGTAGACGAGCCCATGTTGTATTAATGTGTTGTATATTGTAACACATGAATACAACGTGAATTGGTACATACTGATACAGATACGCTCTCAGGAGTGTCCACTTTTTTGAAAGTTCAAATACAGTAACCCTAGAATAACTATTCCAGAATAGCTTTTTTGAAATAAGCATGCAGTGTAGATGTACCCACACCATGCTCTCTCTTGAAAGTAACAACCTTGCTGTTTCTTCTTCTGTTGTTCCCTTAACTTAAAATACAGGCCATTGTGAGAGAACTCACCTTTCTCCTCCTCAGGCATGGACACAAACCAGCTGACAATCTCTATGGCTGTGTCTACACTGGCAAGTTATTCCGGAAAATCAGCCGCTTTTCCGGAAAAACTTGCCAGCTGTCTACACTGGCCGCTTGAATTTCCAGAAAAGCACTGACGATCTAATATAAAATCATCAGTGCTTTTCCGGAAAAACTATGCTGCTCCCATTCGGGCAAAAGTCTTTTTCCGGAAAACTGTTCCGGAAAAGGGCCAGTGTAGACAGCACAGTAGTGTTTTCCGCAAAAAAGCCCCGATCGCGAAAATGACGATCGGGGTTTTTTTGCGGAAAAGTGCGTCTAGATTGGCCATGGACGCTTTTCCGCAAAAAGTGCTTTTCCGGAAAAGCGTCCTGCCAATCTAGACACGCTTTTCCGAAAATGCTTTTAATGGAAAACTTTTCCGTTAAAAGCATTTCCGGAAAATCATGCAAGTGTACACATAGCCTATGACCCCCTGGAACACATAAGGAGCAACAGAATATGAGGGGTGGGTGCAAAGTCCCTTTGGTTCTGCCATAAGCATTACACACGTCATACATGCAACTGCACAATAAATCCAACCCTGCTCCAAAGAGGATAGATGTGCTGCCCTCCTTGTCTCAATCCAATAAAATGTTCCCCAAAACAAGCAGCTCCATGCTTTCAAAGCACATGACATATATTTTTATGCTCACACATGTGAAACAGGCAACTCTTTGAATTTTGCAGTGGCCTAATGAAGCCCAGATCTCAGTTGGAGCCTGCTCTCTTTGTTGGAATACAAGCAAATTAATAAAAATGACAACCTGATAATGAACAATGCTGCCATAGGATGTGTGCAATGATGTAACAGTGGGCTAGAAATGAAATTCACTTGTTTCCACTCCCCAAAATTAAACTAGTACACTCTTAAAGAAGTTCAAGACTTTCCTAGGAGTCTTTTGATGATTTTGTGCAGCGCGTCCTTCACCTCCGTGTTCCTCAGGCTGTAGACGATGGGGTTCAACATGGAGATCACCACTGTGTAGAACACGGAGGCGATTTTGTCGGTGTCCATGGAGTAGCTGGAGGTGGGTCGCAAATACATGAAGAGTTGGGTGCCATGGAACATGCCCACCGCGCACAAGTGGGAAGCGCAGGTGGAGAAAGCTTTGCGCCGGCCTTTGGAGGAGTGAATCCGCAAGATGGTGGCAATGATATAGAAGTAGGAGAGAAGGATGATCACAAAGCTTCCGACAAAAATGCAGCCACTTAAGGTAAACACCACAATCTCATTGATGTGGGTGTCAGAGCAGGAGAGCGCTAGCAATGGGGGGATGTCACAGCAGAAATGATTGAGAATATTGGAGCGGCAGAATGACAGTCGAAATGTTAGACATGTGTGTGTCAGAGAATCCACCAACCCCACAGCACACAGCCCAACCATGAGCTGGTTACAAAACTGACTGGACATGGTGACTCTATAGAGCAGTGGGTTACAAATGGCCACGTAACGGTCGTACGCCATCACAGCCAGCAAGAGACACTCAATATCTGCAAGACAGAGAGAGAAATACATTTGCACAGCACAGGCAGTGCGAGAAATGCTTTTCCTCTCAGCTAAGAAGTCCAGCAGCATCTTAGGGGCAATGACTGTGGAATAGCAGATATCAAAGACAGACAAATTCCGCAGGAAAATGTACATGGGGGTGTGGAGTTGCAAGTCAACTGTGATTAACAAGATCATCCCCCCGTTCCCCACTAGAGTGACAACATAAATCAGTAGGAACACCCAAAATAGAGGGACCTGCAGCTCTGGATGATCCATCAGTCCTGAGAAAATAAACTCTGTTGCTTCTGAGTAGTTTCCCTCTTCCATCTCCTCTGAGCTGAGATTGGATAGCTACAGGGTTGTGGGCAGGTGGATGGATCTGGCAACCTATTCTTTTGCTCTAATGGAATAAGGGAAGAAAAAAGATGGTCAGTTTCTTAACGGACACCAGACATATTCAGGGAAGGACTTGGTCCACAGAGCCCGATGTTCACATCTGGTCTTTTTGCTGGTGCTATACAATGCACCCACCAGTACATGGACACGTAGATCAATCAGACCTTCCCGCTCCCTCCCCCCCCACACACACACAAGGACACTCCTGTTCACTAGTCTTGGCAGCCAATGGCAATTTATGAGTCTGCTATGAGAAAATCAGGGTGAAACTCATCTCAGGAAGATTTTTTTTTCTTGCCTCAAGATGGAGTCTTAATTGTTATACCCACGTTGGACTACATCAGCTCTGTGCTTCGTCATATCAGTTGGGGAAAAAGCCTTCTCACTGGGCTAATGAAAGTTTTTGGCATCTGAAAACAGCATTTATTCTTGTCAGGATGAAAACCCAGCTACTGAAGGAAAAGTGCCGACTTCAATGATGCTTGCTTATTTTTCCAATCCTCCAGCTCAAGGAGCAGGAGCTGAGGCTGAGGTATTAGTGTGAGAGGTCTTCAATTCTGTACCTATCAATCTCTATGGCGTCTGCACATGTGTGTGGCCATGATGCAGGACAAGCGCACGTACCTGGTTTGGAGAAAGAAACGCGGCAGCATTTCCCCTTTGACAAAAACGGCCCGTTCGGAGCCTTCAGGAGGTTTTATACTGAGATTTGTGATCTATGGGACATTGCCCCTGGAGCAACTGGGAATAGCTGAGCTCAGAGAGAAACAACAGCCAATTAATGTGCTTGGTGAACCAGCTCCACCATGGGGGTAACTCATGCCCTGGGGATTAATTTGTTGCTCTCTTTCCTACTGTGTTATTAAATGATGCAATTTCTATCAGAGTTACAGTTGCCACGTCTTTCCTGGTGGACATGGAACACAGAGGTCCAGAGCAAGGAGAGATCTGTTTTATATAATACTAAAATAAGGTTAATATAGTCTCCATTTTATGGGGGGAGTCACCTCTCCAAAAGTCTCTTAAAGTAATTTCACAGGATTGGTCCAGAAACCATGGGCCAGACTCGTCTCTCATTTACACTTATGTAACTCCAGAGGAATACCAGTCATGTCAGTAGAGTTAATCTGGATACTCACTGCTGTATCTAGCTCATAAGCAGACCAACCCGCAGCATACCCAGTGTAACATACACCAGACTCTGGTGCATAAGGTTTGGGTTCTGCTCTCGACACCTTGCCATAACTGGGCAATTTTGGGTGAATCCCTTAAACACCTTCTATGTCAGGAACTCTGTTGTGAAAACGGGCTACATGAAATTAGCCTTCCTCTGTAAAGTACTCTGAGAGCCATAGGTTATAAATGCTGAATGCTACTGTGGCTACTTCACACTTTCAGTTCTGCAGCAACTGCATTACTTTTCTCTGCTGTTTCTTTTCCACTTCACCACGATTCATCCCAGTTTCAGGCTTTGGGCCAGGCATCAAGGATATGCAAAGAACTCATATCTAAGTCTCTGGAGTCTGTCTCTGGCAGCTCTGTGACCAAGAGAATCACATGGGCTGTGTCTAGACTGGCCAGTTTTTCTGGAAAATCAGCCACTTTTCCGGAAAAACTAGCCAGCTGTCTACACTGGCTGCTTGACTTTTCACAAAAGCACTGTAAGAAATCAGTGCTTTTTGCAGAAATTCCATGCTGCTCCCGTTCGGGCAAAAGTCCCTTTTGCGCAAAACTTTTGCGCAACAGGGCTAGTGTAGACAGCATAGTGCTGATTTCCACAAAAAAGCCCCGATGGTGAAAATGGCGATCGGGGCTTTTTTGCGGAAAAGCGCGTCTAGATTGGCCACGGACGCTTTTCTACAAAAAGTGCTTTTGCGGAAAAGCGTCCGTGCCAATCTAGACGCGCTTTTCAGAAAATGCTTTTAACGGAAAATATTTCCGTTAAAAGCATTTCCGGAAAATCATGCCAGTCTAGACGTAGCCATGGTGCTTTTAGAAACATCCAAAAAGAGCGTAAACCTCTAAGTCATAGAGCCTTCTGATGCTGACTGGAATGTGCGTCCTATACTGTCCAATCACTTAAGCTACGTCTACACTGCAGGCTTCTTGTGCAAGAATTGTTTTGTGCAAGAATTCTTGCACAAGAGCATGTCCACACTGCCATGTGCTTTTGTGCAAGAGAGTCCATGGCAGTGTGGATGCTGTTTTGTGCAACAACATTCTGATGGCCATTTTAGCCATAGGGGTTTCTTGCACAAGAAACCCCTGTTGCCCATCCACACTGCCTCTTCGCACAAGAGCTCTTGTGCAAGAAGGCTTATTCCTCATGGGGAGAGGAATAATTCTTGCACGAGAAGCCCTCTGTTCCGACACCATACTGTAAATTTACTTGCGCGAGAACAAGCGTGCAGTGTAGATGCTCTGCAAGTTTTTGCTCAAGACCAGTCATTCTTTGCACAAGAAGCTTGCAGGGGAGATGTAGCCTTATTGTATAACACCAACTCACATAAAGTCTGCCATTTTCTTCCTTGAAATGTTATGGACAAATCCTGCTCTCAAGTAGACTTCCCAATATTTCGATACAAAACCACACCGGCTTTGATACCACAAGAAAACACATGTATTCACTCCAAAAAGAAAGATTTTCAGTGATTGCAAAATGAGGCCTAAAATTCAGAAATTGTTACAAAGAATTAAAAGGTCAAATGCAACCAATACCTAGCTTAATGAGGTAAATGAATTAAAAGCACCCGTTTTCTCTCATGGCCTTGCAGTTTTATGTGATGAATGCCTGTCAGTCAGAATTCACCACCCAGTCCAATGTTTCATCTTGTTCCTTCTGAGAGTATTGCTGCAGTGATCAGAGAAAGGGAGGAGGAATACTATTGGGGCATTTGCCTTCTCCATTTATAGACATTTCTTTTTCACAGCTGAGATTCAGGAGACAAAGAATGAGGGGACAGAAAACACCAGCAATTTCCTTGTCATAATTTTGATATCTCACTCATATCCTTCCTCCTGCCCCCAAATGGCCTCTTAATCAGGTGAAATATCATTTGATTTTGTTTATGCCTGGTTGAGGCATCCGTTTTCCTTTTGTTTGCTAGGTACTGCTTTTTGCCTGCTTTTCTAAACTTAGAATGTCTCACTAATGTTATACAGCAGAATACAATAATGTTATATATTGTTTAGCCACACACATTTTATCAGGACATTGATGATCAGCGGATTATGAGTTTTCAAATGATAGCTCATAAAGCATGCTTTGTACAAAATGCATCATCTTCTTAGAAGAAGGATGAGCATAAGGGTACAGACTGTCACCATGTGTAAATAATTTCTTTTCTGTCCTATCGGCTTGCAGCTACTGTTTTTAATTTAAGAAGTTGCAACTGGGTTGAAGATAAAAGGTGTGTTCTGCAATTGCCTGATATCAGAGACTATATCAGGAAGATAAGTCTCAGTTTTGAATGCCAGGGGACAACCTGATGGCAGCACATGTAATTTGCAGTGTGTCTATAAAAAGACAATTCACCATGTTATCTTGAATAGTTAAAAAGTCAGTATTGGAAACTCTGAGACACCCTCGGCTCCTTGGTGGGACATGCATGGTGAATGTGAAGAATGCAGCTCTACTGTACAGAATGAGGGGTTGCGGTGCCACTCTTGCATATCGGTTTTATACCATTGTTCCTTTATCGCCATGAGAAGGAATGTTTGTTTACTACATTAAGCCTTAATCTACCACTCTGTAATTTTGATTTTAGTTACTGGTGCACCTGCAGATGTCTTGTATAACAGAGAAATTTCCTTTCTCTGTGTTTCAGCTCATCTGTGAAAGGGAGATAAATATTTTCCTACCTAACATGAAGGTTGTGACAATAAATGCAATCAAGACTGTGGAGTGCTCAAAGTTACTACATTGATGAAGGCCCTATAAGGGCCTACAGACATTTATGAAGCCTGTAATAAGACAGCCAAGCCTAGTCACCCTCATTCATAAGTGGGCAAAGGGTGGCAGAAAGAATTTCAGATCCCCATTTTCATACTTGTCCGTACTCAAGTCCTGGATTTGTGAATGCTTTTGAAAAGGCTGCCTCTGGACAGTTAGAGAAGAGGAAACTACCAATGGGAGAGACTGGCAGATATTCTTATGTCTAACAATTCCCATATCTTTAATTTTTCGTTATTGAATCTACACAGTAAAAATAAAATTGTTGCATAAATAACAATTTTTTAATAAATTGTGGTGTTAGAGAATGGAATTCCATGGGAGCCCAGGAGTGAAGTAACGATCTGACTTTAGTGTGAGAACCAGCAAATACTGGAGTGTGTTATTACTTCTCTATGTTGGTTTTAGAAGTTGAAATCACCAAGTCTGGGGGTGGTGAGGGTTCACTCTGTTTGCTTTTTAGTTCCAAGCTAGAGAATGGGCCTTGGAAGTCAACGGCTCTTGTCCCATCACTCTATCATGGTGTGGACACTGTTAAAGTTACATCAATTGAACTAGCATGTCTTAGATTGACTTTACAGCTTTAACGTAGACCAACCCTGAAAAAGGCCTAGGACGGGACATAGCCCAGTCACCAGGGCATTGTCCAGCAGTGTGGAAGATTCACTGTCAAATTGTTTCTCCCCATCAGAGAGAGGGGGATTGGTCTGTGTGTCCCACATCCCAAGGGAGAGCTCTACCCATTGGGGGACAAGATACAAAGGAAACACCACCATCCCCGCCTCTTCCACTCCCACTCATTGGTCAGCCTAGGCCTCCATTGTCTTTGTTTTCACAATGGGATGTCCCTGGGAAGGAAAGGAAATATTCCATTTCTGGGGGGTGTTAGATGTGTTCTTCCACCCCGATATTTTCAATTTTCCAAGCATTTTGAGGATTTTCAAATTCACATCAGCTTGAGCTGCATTTCTGTCTTAATTTTTGTAACCAACCCATTACCTCAAAAATCAACTCACAGCCTTCTATTTTTCCCTCACCATCCCCCCAGCCGTACCATTCCCTCTATCCCTGTTCTTCAGAGTCTAAATTACAAGACCAGAGAAGGAAGAGGAACAACTCATAGCTTATCTGCTGATATGGTATAAATATTGAGTGATTTAACTTTCTCTTTCATCTATACCAAAGAGGGAACCAAACCTTTCTGTGCTATTTATTATTCAGTTTAGCGCAGAATGTCACAGTTGAGGTACACACTCCATGCTCTCTCTTAGAAACATCACCCTTACTAATACTTGTCTTTTTGACCCTTAGCTTAAAATAAAGGGCATAGAGAGTAGGTCTAGACTACATGGCTCTGCTGACAGAGCCATGTAAACTAGTTTACCCGACATAGTCAAAAAAGCGGGGATTTAAATAATCCCCACTTCATTAAAATAAAAATGGCCACTGCGCTGTGACAAAAATCAGCTGATCCGGCACAGTGCTGGAGTCTAGACGCGGATCGGTTGACAAGGGAAGCCTTTGTTGACCGCTCCTGTTAACCTCATTTCATGAGGCATAACGGAGCAGTCAACAAAGGCTTCTCTTATCGACCGATCCGCGTCTAGACTCCAGCACTGTGCCGGATCAGCTGATTTTTGTCACAGCGCAGTGGCCATTTTTATTTTAATGAAGTGGGGATTATTTAAATCCCCGCTTTTTTGACTATGTCGGGTAAACTAGTTTACATGGCTCTGTTGGCAGAGCCATGTAGTCTAGACATACCCTAAGAGTGAAATCAACTTTCTAACACTCATGCATGGATGGAAACCAGATGACAATCCCTACCACGACCCAATAAAGTGCAGGAAGGGCTGCAGAGTAGCAGGAGGGCGTGCAGAACTCCCTTTGGTTGAGCCATATCACACACTTTAGCCTTTCGCTTGCATAACGAAAACAACCTTGATATAAAGGAGAAAGATTGGATGCCCCTCTTTTTACCTTGTACAAAGAGCTGGATGCTGTCAACACGCACAGAATTGTAGAATCATAGGGTTGAAAGAGACCTCAGGAGGTCATCGAATCCAACCCCCTCCCCAAAACAGGACCAACTCCAACTAAATCATCCCAGCCAGGGCTTTGTGAAGCCGGGACGTAACAACTTCTAGGGATGGAAATTCAACCCCTTCCCCAGGGAACCCATCCCAGTGCTTCCCCACCCTCCTAGGGAAAGCCTTTTTCCTAATATCCCACCTAGACCTCTCCCACTGTAATTGCTCCTCATTCTGTCATGTGTCACCACTGAGAACAGCTTCTTTCCATCCTCTTTGGAACCCTCCTTCAGGAAGTTGAAGGCTTCTCTCAAATCTCCCCTCCCTCTGCTCTTCTGCAGACTGATCAAGCCCAAATCCCTCAGCTTTTCCACATAGGTCATGTGTTCCCTATATATTTTAATACTCACACATGCGGAAAGGGTGTCTCCTTGAACTTTGCAGAGGAAATAGCCTACTGATGCCGACCTCAGCAGGGGCATGCAGACCTCGTTGGAATATGAACCATTTAATAACAATAACAATATTAAAATAACCAATATATGTAAGAGTAGGTTAGATAAATGTCTATCAGAGATGGTCTAGATAGTATTTGGTCCTGCCATGAGGGCAGGGGACTGGACTCGTTGACCTCTCAAGGTCCCTTCCAGTCCTAGTATTCTATGATTCTATACCTGGGCTCTGCAAAATAACAATGGAATGGGCTGGGAATTGAATTCATCTGTTTTCACTCTGCACCAATAAATTCATGAATTGCTTAAGAGTTTCTTCATGGCTTTCCTCAGGGCGTCCTTCACCTCCCTGTTCCTCAGGCTGTAGATGAGGGGGTTCAACATGGGGATCACCACTGTGTAAAACACAGAGGCTATTCTGTCAGTGTCCATGGAATAGCTGGAAGGGGGACGTAAGTACATGAAGAGTTGGCTGCCATTGAACATGATGACCACAGTCAAGTGACAAGTGCAGGTGGAGAAGGCTTTGCGCTGGCCCTTGGCAGAGCGGATCTGTAGGATGCTGGAGACAATGTAGACATAGGAGAGGAGGATGATCACCACGCTGCTCACTATCATAAAGCCAATGAAGGTGAACACCAATGTCTCACTGATGCGGGTGTCGGAACAGGATAGTGCCAAAAGGGGAGGAATATCACAGAAAAAATGATTGATAACATTGGAGTGGCAGAAAGAGAGCTGAATTATACAACATGTTTGTATCAGCGCATCCACCAACCCCACAGCATAGCATGCAGACACCAGCAGGTTACAAAGCCGCTTGGACATGCTGACCCTATAAAGCAGCGGGTTACAGATGGCCACATAACGGTCGTACGCCATCACAGCCAACAAGAGACACTCAACATCTGCGAAACAGACAAAGAAATACAATTGCACAGCACAGGCAGTGTGAGAAATGCTCTTCCTTTCGGCTAAGAAATTCTGCAGCATCTTAGGGGCAATTATTGAGGAATAGCAGAGATCACAGAAGGACAAATTCCTCAGGAAAAAGTACATGGGGGTGTGAAGTTGCGGGTCAATTGTGATTAACAAGATCATCCCCCCATTTCCCATCAGGTTGGTAACATAAATCAGTAGGAACAACACAAACAGGGGGACCTGCAGCTCTGGACGATCTGTCAGTCCTGAGAGAATGAACTCAGTCACCTCCGAGTGATTTCCCTCTTTCATCTCCTCTGTGCTGAGATCAAGCAGCTACAGGGAAGTGGGCAGGTGGAGGACTCTGGGGAGTTATCCCTCCTCTGTAATGAAGTGAAGAAAAATGGAGATCAGTTTCATAATGGGCACCTGTACAAGATCTAAGAAGGGCTTTTTCTACAGAGTCACATGTTCACAGCTGGTCAATCCAGGTGTTCCATACAATGTACACACTGTACACAAACCAGGACGTGGTGATTAAACATGTCAGAAAGACAAACACTCCCATTCCCTAATCCGAGCAGCAAACAGTGACTTGTGGGTCTGTTTTTGGACAATTAGGGTGAAAATCTTCTCAGAAGAGATGACCCCTTAGCTCAAGGAGGGGGTGAGAGTAAAAGAGTTTTAATCTTTCTATAGTCTTTGGGCAAGGGGAGCTCTGTGGTTGGGCATATCAGGTTAGGACAAAATTTACATGCTGTGCTAAGTAAGTTTTTGGCATCTGAAAATGGCACTTACATTAGTCTGTGCTAAAATCCAGATACAGAGGAAGAGGAACTTGCCTCTGTGACTAGGTAATTGCCTATTTTTTCCAACCAAAGTGGTCACTCTGTTTTTTCAGGGAGTAGGAGCTCAGACAGAGGCTTTTCGTGCCGGAGATCTTGAATTCAAAGCCTGCTAATCAGCATGGTGTCTCCATGAGAGTGACTGTGATGTAGGACAACAGCACCTACCTGCTACGGAGAGATTGTGGTGGCTTTTCCCCTTTGTCAGCAACTGCCCGTTTAAGGCGTTCGACATGTTTTATACTGAGATCTACGAGACATGCTCCCTTACACAACTGGGAATAGCTGAGCTCAGAAAGACACAACAGCTAATTAGCGCACTCAGTGAAGCAAAGCCGCCCTTGATGCAACTTGTACACGAGGGATGAATTGGTCCTCCTCTGTTATGAAATGATGCAATTGTAACCCAGTGACAGTGACTGAAGTTAGGTTATAGTTCATCCCACCGTGTTCAGTTCAAGTTGGGACTGTGCAGAGCTGATCCACAAAGGGTGGATTTCTTTTGTGGTTCGTGGAAACCAAATCTTGAAATGTCACAGGGGTCCCTAAGATCCCGCATCCCACCTTTCCCTGCCATGGCTCCCAGGCTGAATTAAATCCTCTATGATACAGGATGTACTAGGAGGGTAGTGAAGCATTGGAATGGGTTACCTAGGGAAGTAGTGGAGTCTCCATCCCTAGAGGTGTTTAAGTCTCGGCTTGACAAAGCCCTGGCCGGGTTGATTTAGATGGGATTGGTCCTGCCTAGAGCGGAGGGCTGGACTTGACGACCTTCTGAGGTCTCTTCCAGTTCTGATTCTATGATAAGGGGATGGTTGGATGAAATAACATGATCTTGGTAACTAATTGACCATTCATTATCAGTTGGAAATAGGTCAATGGAGGGATGATAGGAGTTGCTATAGGGAACTTTCTGGGTGTCTGGCTGGTGAGTCTTGCCCACATGCTCAGGGTTTAGCTGATCGCCATATTTGGGGTCGGGAAGGAATTTTCCTCCAGGGTAGATTGGCAGAGGCCCTGGAGGTTTTTCGCCTTCCTCTGTAGCGTGGGGTACAGATCACAGCTGGAGGATTCTTTGCATCTTGGGGTCTCCAAAGTATTTGAAGGTTTCAATATCTGAGATATAGGTGAGAGGATTATTCTAGGAGGGGTGGGGGTGAGATTCTGTGGCCTGCACTGTGCAGGGGGTCAGACTAGATGATCATAATGGTCCCTTCTGACCTTAAAGTCTATGAGTCTATGAGGGTATGTCTACACTACCCCGCTAGTTCGAACTAGCGGGGTAATGTATGCATACCGAACGTGCAAATGAAGCCCGGGATTTGAATTTCCCGGGCTTCATTTGCATAAGCGGGGAGCCACCATTTTTAAATCCCCGCTGGTTCGAACCCCGTGTAGCCCGGCTACACGGGGCTCGAACTAGGTAGTTCGGAGTAGGGAACCTAGTTCAAACTACATAGTTCGAACTAGCGGGGTAGTGTAGACATACCCTGAGTCTATGCTCTGTAGCACTAACAGCAGACAAGACTTCACTGCTGACGGAGGTTTTCAGCTACCACAGTCAGGAAGGCAAAAGTCATCACTTGACCAGCCATGGCTCACCTTGCAGAGAGGTTATGATCACAATCTCCTTGAACATAAGGTACAAGTGCTCAGGAAAAAAAAAAGGTTGAGAACTTCTGGGCTACGTCTAGACTGGCATGATTTTCCGGAAATGCTTTTAACGGAAAAGATTTCCGTTAAAAGGATTTTTGGAACAGAGCATCTAGATTGGCACGGACGCTTTTCCGCAAAAGCACTTTTCGCGGAAAAGCATCCGTGCCAATCTAGACGCTCTTTTCTGAAAAAAAGCCCGGATCGCCATTTTCGCGATAGGGTCTATTTTGCAGAAAACAAATCTGAGCTGTCTACACTGGCCCTTTTGTGCAAAAGGGACTTTTGCCTGAACAGGGGCAGAATAGTACTTCCGCAAGAAACACTGTTTTCTTACAGTAGGAAGTCAGTGCTTTTGCGGAAATTCAAGCGGCCAGTGTAGACAGCTGTCAAGTATTTCCGGAAAAGCGACTGATTTTCCGGAAAAACTGGCCAGGCTAGACACAGCCCTGATGTACACCGCCCAAGGCAGGAGATGACCTGTAACCACACACTCTATTTATCAACATTAGTCACCAGGTTGTCTTCTCACGTACAAGGAGCCTTCTGATTAAGGGGCCTGGTTCCTCTGTCTCAAACCCCAGGTGTGTCAATGGGACATTTCTTTCCTCAGTCCTCTTAACTGGGTCCATATCGCACCCCTGCATGAGGTGCTTGAATTTCTGTGTTGGCAACACCTGGCACCAGAGGAAGGGGCACAGAGAGGAAGCTGGCATCGGAGGAAGGGGGCACAGAGAGGCAAAAGACACCAGGCTGAGGGCCAGTCAGGGCAAGGACACACACATGTCTAGTCTCAACATTCTGTTCCACTGTCACCCTCCACCCCCAACACAGGCATGCACAGTGCATCCACTCCCCATACACAACCTGCATCTGAGCTCAGCCGGAGTGTAGAGGAACCTCTACTGGGAAGCGGAGACAGCTGGAATATTTCCAATAGCCCTGAGCAAAATGAATTGAAGGGGATTCTACTGCCGTGGTGGGGACACAGGTCTGGATTTCCCGACAGGTCTTTTCCATTGGTAGCTTGTCTGAGGCCTGGTTTATGCTCAAAAATTACATCGACCGAGCTCTGTTACACAAGACTGAGAAACTTTTCACAACCTGGGCAAGGCAGCTGCGTGGCACTAAACCTCGGTGTCATTCTTTCATTGACCTAGCTCTTGGAGAGGTGGGTTAACCATATGGTTGGAAAAACCCCTTGCAACAATGTGGAATGTATCTACACTAGGTGCTGGTTCAGCTCTATAGCTAAGTCATTGTAAAGGCTTTTGTATAGATGTTCCCTCAATGGATAGAGGGAATTTTTCCCTTCTCTCATAAGGCTATTGTTCTCTCCCTTTGCTGTCACTCTTCTTCCTCTTTTATTTTGGTTTTTCAATTGGTACATATATTCAGAACAGTTATAATTTCTCTTCCGAGGAGAAGGCTTCAAGTCATTTCAATTAAAGACTGAAATGCTCTTCAACTGACCGCTTTGCCCCTGATTTGCTGGTACCACACTGGTTTTCTTCCCTTCACTTATGAGTGGAGAAGAATAGAAGCACTACCTGGTCGAACATTTACCTCAGAGGGGGTCCCCATGCTAGTCTGTAACTTTAAAAACAGCGAGTGGTCCCTGTGGCACCTTAGAGACTTAGCAACATAAAGAGACAGGGTCTGCTAGCCTATCACAAACAGCGTGCAAAAGCTTTCTCTATAAAACAGCTTCCCCTTCTGTATCAAATTGAGGAATCCCGAATAAACATTGGATGGTGGAATATGAGCCAGGTCCGAGGACTGATCACCCGAGGGCCACCTCCCGCTCACCGAACCAAACGAGTTCCTGTAGAGCGTAACATATACCAAACATAACGAATACCAAATATGTTGTTGTTATTGTTGTAGTTTGTGTGTCTGTTAAATATAAGTATTGTTATCTGAAATTGTTTAGAGGTATTGTTAAGTAGTAGTTTTAAAAGTTTTAGATAAGACTAATCACTTATAAGTAAGACTGATGTAAATGTAACTGTTAATAATCCCTGGTCCCTTGTTAACAACTATTGGGATTTAGAAAAACCTCAGGGAATTTTCTTTACTGTATTGCATTTTGCTTATTGGTCATTCTAAAAATTATTTGGTGCCTACATATGTAAGAAATTGATAAAATCATAATTTTTACGTAGAAGCCCTTTAATAAAAGTTTAAAAGATATTTGGTAATAGTTTGCCTGTTTCTGCACCTCCCTGGGACTAGCCACATTTCCGAACCTTTTACTTTAAACCACAATACCGTCATTCAAGCCCAGGGACACAGTGTCAAGTACATAAATGAGCTCCAATTTAGCACTCTCTCTCTCTCTCTCTCTCTCTCTGTCATTCAGTGGTGAAACCCCTTTGTAGAAGAAGGGTTACTCTTAAATCAGGTATGGAATGGCCGGGCAGGTTAAAATGTTCCCCTCCAGCTTTAGGTGTATTACCATTTCTGATGCCTGATATGTGTCCCTTTGTCCTTTGTCGTAGGACATTGACCTGTTTGCTAACCATGGCCATGTCACCGTGAATGCCTTTGGAGCAGCTTCCTGGGATAGCAGGGGTTAACCTTGGCTTGGAGTCTTACAGGTTTGCTCCCTGGAGAACCTTTGCTCCCTGTAGAAGAGCTGTGCAGAGCCCATGCAATTAATGTTGTTGCCTTGTTTTCCCTTGTGAAACTAGAGGGTTAGGTGTCTCTTCAGGTCTATTGAACATGATAGTACAAGGATGGGAATGGTTTCCGCTTTCTTTGTTGGCCACCTCTCCAAAAGTCCCTAAGTCATTTCCTTACATTGCCTAGATA